ATGTTCATAGATTGTTCATTTTTACTGCTCGATGGCAATCCCCTTTATAAATATCGCAAAGTTTATTCATTAGTTCAGCCTTTCAAAGACATTCAACTGAGTTGTAATTTTTTTCTTACAAAAAGAGAGCTATTACGAACATTTGTGTTAAAATATTTTTGTACTATATGTACAGACATTTGTGGACTACATGGCTTGAACTGCCCAGTAGGAGAATTTGCATTTGTTCAGTGTTAATGGTTAAGTAGGCTTTCAGGCTACTTTGGTCATTGTAGTGTTAGAGGCCAAGTTAAGCCCAACTTTACCAAGTGCTCTGTACTTTATAATCTGTAAATAAGAATACCCATTTGCCCATTCATTGTTCCCTCTTCATTCAGAATTGTTTCATAATTTATATGCATCTTCATTCAGTGAATGTGTTTATATATATAGTTGGCTACATCATCATTTAGTTTCAAATGAAGTTATTTGGTTTACATCCCATTAAACTTTTACTATTGATCTTTATTATCTTTGTGTCCTCAATACATTGCAACTTCTTTCAGTTCTTCACAGCACTTCTCCTAGGATTCCTATTATTTTTCTGTTTCATTTTTGCTCAGTACAATTTTCTTAATTTTTCATTGCTTAAATTTTTTCATACATTAAATGGGATAAAGGATGCCTAACCCATGGGTTTATGTCACTGACTGCTACATCTAAGTGGTAAATATTATTTACCACTAAAAAAAAAGCTTTTCGCATGTTTTACAGTTGAATACATAATACGAGATAATTCTATGTGTTCATTAGTTTTCATTCAAATATTTGCTCACTACGTCACCCTTTAAACTTTGAGTTTGAGGAAAGGGTTGATGAATGCATTAACAACGTACATAATAGTCTTTAGAACTACAGTTTTAATTTATTGAAAGTTTAGCTACATGTTGAGGAAACAAGTTGACAGAAGACCACGTTTCTAAGTTATAACTCACATGCTTTTTAATCAAATTAAAATGCAACATCTGTAAGAATATATTCAACATGATGTGAAAAGTAGCAAATTAGTTGCAAAAATACATCTATTTTTATTTATTTTGGTTTTTTTTAATATTTATTTAGTTTTTTATTGGAAAGTCATACAGAGAGCAGGAGAGACAGAGAGGAAATCCTCAATCTGAATATTCATTCCCCAAATGGCCGCAATGGCCAGAGCTGAGCCAATCCGAAGCCAGGAGCCAAGAACCTCTTCCAGGTCTCCCATATGGGTACAGGGTCCCAAGGCCTTGGGCTGTCCTCGACTGCCTTCCTAGGCCACAAGCAGGGAAGCGGGCCTGGATGACAGAATTAGAACCAGTGCCCACATGGGATCCTGGCACATTTAAGGCAAACACTTTAGCCGCTAGGCTACTATGCTGGGCCCACTTATTTTTATTTATTTGTTTTAATTTATAAACAATAGTTGTACACATTTGTGTGGTACAATAGTTTTTATCTATTATGACTTACATAAAGATTTGCTTTAACTTACATATGCATGCCCTCACTGTCTTGCTGACTTTTTTATGGTGGCAGTGTTGAAAATATTTTTCAGCAATTTTGAAAAGTACATTATCATCAACTGTGCACTTAATGCCATGCAATGTAACAGGTACAAAGTCTTCATCAGATTCTAAGAGTAAGTGCGTATTCTATTGCCAGAATGCATTTTGATGTAACTCAGCAACAGTTTTGCTCAAGAAAATGTGATTTGTTTAATTCCTTTTTAGTTATATTTCCTCACTTCCCTGGAAATATATTGAAATTACTTAGCATTAATCTCTGATGAAGGACACACACACACACACATTTAGGGATGTGGTGTTAAAGTGTGGTTTTTAACTTGCAGGTTAGTTCATTTAAAGCATATTTTTACCTTACCGCTGAATTTCAGAAAGTCTAATAATGCACATCGAAAAAGCAGAACCTTTGCTTTCATGTTCAGTAAATTACTCTTGAAAAAACTGCAGTAAACTAATTTATTGAGGTGTTATGGATGTACAACCATGGCACCAACGTGAAGTGCATAGCTGGTATGCACGAACATACACAAATACCCCTGATATTATCACCAAAACCAAAGTAATAGATGTGAAAAAGGAAAAAAAAATGTGTCATACTTTGAAATAGCCTTTTTTGATATACCAGTAACAATGACCTAATAACCAGGATATTTTCAAATACTTTTTCAATGAATTGATTTTGCTATCACAGTGTTTGGCTTATTCCTGAGCTTACCTGTATCATGCTGCTAAGCTTATTGTCTTTGTTTCAACAACGTTATTAACAAATCTCATTGATTTTGATTAGCCAGCAGCTTGAAAAGCATTTCCTGTTTAAGTCATTCTTTCCATGCTCTTTCTCCTTTGATAAGAAGGAAAATAAGATGACAACAAAAACAAATGTAAGTTCCCCATAAAAAACAATACCTTAGCACTTCGTCTCTTTTCCATTTTTCTCTGAAATGTATTTACAGCTTGTTTTTCTGGAAAGACTTTTTCATTACATGATACATAAACATGAAGAATGTGTGGTGATACCTATGCTGCAATGGTTGACTTGTTTTTTATGCATGTGTATGCTTGCCCTTGGCATGAAATAACAAGGGGTTTTTGCAGTTTTCTTCGCTGCCTTTTTGTAAGTGTTAAAAAATGCTTGTTCTTAACATTTTCATAAATATTTTAGCCATGCAGTTGTCAAAATTGTCTTTCAGCTGTTGATTTTATGGTCACAGCCTGAAAGCAGATGAATCCAATCACTTGATGACATATGAATACTTAAAAGAAAAAGGGAGTTAGATCTTTGCATGTCTTAGACTGCACTGTACATCAAAACAGGCAGGATGAATGAAAACTTTGATCAATTTCTGGTGCCTCTTTGTCCACCAACGCTTTAAAAAAAATCTAGGCACAAAAGCAGCATCTGTTATTATCTCTAGTATAGGAAGCCTAAAGCAAATGCTTATAATTTTATTTTGTTCTCTGTCTCAATTTATTATTGCATCTGGTCTCATTCATTGGACTATGTGTCAGCTGTTACAGGCAGATGAAAGTTATTGAAACATACAGATTCCAAATGGCAAAGTGAAAGTCTAGCTGAAAGCACTTTATGTCTTTGTATTTGCTTCCTGAAGTTTAATGAACACAAACAGCAGCAAGAATTGACAAGCAAACTTTCCCTGTGTGCACTGCCAGAGAACATGGACTGCTGTTGCTGTTTTCTTAGTACAAGTGACAGGACCATCAGGGAGACTATGCCCATTTTCACAAGTTGAAATACAATTACCAGAGCACCTTCTGCTGCTGTAGATGTCCTTTGTACTCTTTAGTATTCTGCCAAGGTCCACAACTGTCTGTGATCAGGATTCTCTCAGCAGTTATGTTGCTCATATTCCTCACACTTGATGGATGATTTATCCACTGTTATTCAAATTCTGCAACTTAGTTGCTACCCTTCTCATCATGATAGAGGAGGATGATGCATAGTCTATAGTATAAGGAGCCAAGAATTAATCTGATGTGTGCTATGGATGACATACTTCTTTGTATACACTGAACAGAATTACAAATTTTGTCGAAAAACTGTGGCACAAGGGAACATGTTACAGATGACCTTTCAGCTGCACAGTAGAGGTGAGGATTCAGTGGTTAAAGTCTCAGTCACTGCAAAGTATTCATTTCTACATTTCATGTGAAAACTTCCCTGGAAACATTTGACATGTTTGCAATGTTTACTTCAATTTTTTTTTTCTCAACTACATTTGTGGCAAGAGGTGACTCTATTGGGTCTGTTTCATATAATACTATACAAATGGGAAATTTATAGTCAGGAATAGACTAATCACACTCCTAGTTTTGAAGGCCTATATTAAAGTGTGCTGTTGCATGAGTAATCAAAAGAAACCCATAGTATAAACATTGATGGCAGAGCAATGCTGGCAAGAAAATATCGTATTTCTATTCTGCTGTACATTAATATAAACTTTAGGGTTATAGGCTCTTCTAATACATTGTACTGGCTACTTAGATTTACAGTAAGTATGGAGAAAATATTGATCTCTATTAAGAACTAAATCTTTAGTCTGTCTCAGAAACATAACATGGATGGGTAGATGTTGCTATTTGGACGTCACAGTGTGAAACACTGATCATTTTATTCCCTTGTTTCCTTTGTTTGCTCTGCTTCGTTTGTTAAAGCTTATAATCCATCTGAAAACAGCTTTGATTACCAAACAGGAAATTGAGCCATTCTATGTCATTGCTATCATAGGAATCACTCAAGCAACACAGTAGTAAATGGTTATAAAGGGCAAACTTTCTAGGAAATTTCTCTTAGACCATGAAAGCTATCAGTACATTAGCCCAACACAGATGCAAATGGAGGGATGTTGGTATAGCAGATGCAAAGGATCTGAATGAGCCTGCCCATCATTCACTCAGCCTGTGAAGTCATACTTTATTTTCCTTACAGCACATATAGTAATTGAACTACTTATAACACAAATAGTGATTTAACTTTTGTGTGCTGTTTGAGTATCATTGACTAAGAAAAACACTTGGAAGTGAATAGCATACTCTTTCTTGTTTGCAGCTTGCCTTATTCTGTAATATGTATTCTATTCTTGCTAAGATAGGCAGGTACAGCCATTACACTCTACTTTAAAAATGGAAATAAGAAGAATGAGAGATATTGTCTTTGCTATACTATTCTGTTTATTTTTATCCTGAGTTTATATAGATGTATTTTACACTCAAAAAGAAGTTAAATTTTAAAAGAGAGCAAAGGTAATGATAACAAAAAGAAAACAGAAATGAGATTAACATTGCCAACTATACAACTGCTTAGAACCAGCTTTGGTTCAACAATTTCTAGTATCTTCTGCACACAAGACTTGGTGTGTTATAAAGAATGCAGTGTCCATTATAAACCACAGGGCTAACAGCAGCCAACTGCCCAAATTTACCTGCTTTGCAATCCATAATTCTGTGAGCCCCCTGCTTACCATTTTTAGAGATGAAGATAATTATAGAAAAATCTCCACCCAGTCGCCCTGCTGTGTAGCAGGTGTTTATAATCCTGCCAGAAGCATCTCAGTAGAACACAAAATGCTCTGAAGGCAATGAAAGATCAAGCCTACGTGTTTCAGAATGTGAAAAATCATACATGAACCACATCTAGGCCCATTTCTCACATCACAAGTGAATGTGTTCATCAAGCAGTGAGTAGACATTCACATTTAAAACACATTTAAAACATCTCATGTATTCTATCCAAGAAACTGTTCAAATGTTGCATAGGCCTTTGAGTCTCTGAATTACACAAGTTTTTCAGTTACAGACAGAATGTAAGAGGATAATTAGCTTCAGAACACACATTTACTTTTATCTGATTAAAGGAAAATCCATTACTACAGTACCACATATCCTGCTGATTATGTAATTAATTGAAGATTGACTCGCAACATATACCACTTACAGGCTTACTGAACAATATTCTATAACCTCCTACATAGATCTTCATTTGCAGTACTAATATTTGGGAGATGCTATTTAGCAGAAAGTCTGGAAATATTTTATGATTCTATTACTGTATGTCTCTGCTTCTTCCAAATTCAAGCAAACTTGTAGTGTGGAAAATATAGTCCAAATATTTCCAGATCACATTTCATGCTTTAACCTTACAGTGAAAAATATTTATGAACTAAGATGTTTGAACTAGCATCTATAATTTAATGAATTTAACTACATTACAATACAAAAATTGCAAAAGATTTTATTTTCCCCTCAGAGTTATTGAACTTCACATCTGCTTTAATATACATAGTTCTTTGCTGAATCCTATAAGGCAGCTACTGTTTAACTTCTTTAAAGATTTAGATGATTAAATAACCGTGTTCAATATGTTTGTGCTTTTCTTTGTATTGCTCTTTGCATAGATGTGTGAATCCCCATTTGTTAAGTTCCCATTGTTCATTCTTCCTTGTTGGGATCCCTTATATCAAAATTTAAAAAGCGTCAGAATACAGATTGGCCAAAGGACTCAAAAACCTGTCAGAAGTAAAGTTCAGGATTTTCTAACCTGCTGAAACTGAACCAGCTTTTATATGATTTTTATTTTAAAATCTTGAGCTAATAATAATTGGCTCCAATTAATGATGCTTTTCATCTGCATAGAAATAGAAAAGAGGGTAGAAGATGAGTTTCAGGGTGTTTATTCATGACTTAGTTTTGAGAGCATTGTTTTAGGAGAAACATAATGGAGGCTGTTACTGAAGGTATGGAAATCAAATGCCCAAAACAACAAAGACCTAGGCAGTCATTATAGCTTAATTTGAAACAAAGTGTTTTACATGCTGTATTATTATTTTTATTATTTTTTATCACTTAAATGCTTTTATTTACATTATGTAATGTGGTCTATGTTGGCCAAACTACCTCAAAGATCAATTTTTAAGAATGAGCTTGTTTACTTACTTAGTTTTTGTATCGTGAAATTGACGGTAAAGAGTGTTAGAATTCAATTTTCAGTGGGAACAGGAGTCTCTTCGCCTGTAGGGGATGTGGTATCTGCATCTTCCAACTCGCAGATCAGTGAACAGTTGTACATATTTAACTGAGGGTTCAATATGACAACAACTCATATTTCAGACAGCAGGTAAGAGATTTCTTTCCTTATTTTGAAAGATGATAGAAAGAGAAAGATCTTCTATTTACTGTTGATGCCCTGGATGATCACAACACAGCACTGGGACAGGCCAAAGCCAGGATCCAGGAGCTTCATGTGGGATCTGTCATATGAATGCAGGGGCCAAACACCTGGCCATCTTCTGCTCTCCCGGGCATGTTAGCAAGGCACTGTATAGTAAGCACATCAGCCAGTATTTCTTTTTTTTTATTATTGTTATTAACATTGTATTATGTGATACAGTTTTACAGGCACTGGGGATTTCCCCCACCCCTCCCATACCCCTCCCCCCATAGTGGATTCCTCCACCTTGCTGCATAACCACAGTTCAAGTTCAGTTGAGATTCCTTCATTGCAAGCATATACCTAGCATAAAGTCCAGCGTCTTATTGTCCAGATAAGTTCAGTGGCCTCTTGGGGAGACCTTCTCTGGTCTGAAGGTAGAGCTAACAGAGTAAAGTTCCGGTCAGTTAAAAGCCCCAACAAAACCTCAGTATCAATATACAACATTATGGAATTAATTGACATAGTATTGGGTAAACAATATGTTAAAAATAATGCAAGTTCCATTCTTCGAAACATCTGGGTTAAGACAGTATCAATGACAGGTTCAAAAAATAACAAACCAAACAAAAATTATAGGTTAAATCAAGGCAAACATGTGGTATCTAATCTTTTGGGATTCGCTCATTTCCCTTAGCATTATAGTTTCCAGCTGGGCCCATTTAGCCACAAAGAACTGCATTTTGTTTTTTTAATAGCTGAGTAGTATTCCATGGAGTAGATGAACCAAAGCTTTCTTATCCAATCTTCTGCTGATGGGCATTTCGGTTGCTTCCATGTTTTTGCAATTACTGATTGTGCTGCTATGAACATAGGGATGCATGTTGGTTTGTCATGGAACAGGTGTTTTGGATATATTCCTAGGAGTGCTATTGCTGGGTCATATGGTATGCAGATTTTGAGTTAAGTGTTCTCCATACTGATTTCCATAAAGGCTGTACTAACCTGCAGCTCCACCAGCAGTGGAGTAGGGTTCCCTTTTCCCCACATCCTCGCCAGCAAGCGTCGTTGGTGTTCTTGTTTATGAGGGCCAATCTTACTGGTGTTAGGTGGTACCTCATTGATGACTTAATTTGGATTTCCCTTATTGCCAGGGAACTGGAGCATTTTTTCATATGTTTGTTTGCCATTTGGACTTGTTCCTTTGTGAAATATTGTATCAGCCAGTATTTCTATGGGAGCTCATATGGGATTCCAGCATTGCATGTGGTAGCTTAGCATAACATGCCACAATACTACCCCCTAAGTGATTTCTATCAAAGGATGAATGAGTGAAGAAACTGTTACTGTTACATATGAGACAACTTCAAAAATTTGCTAGAAAAGTATGCATGTTTTTCAAAAAAAAATTTACACCAAGATAAACTTACCTTTAAATACAGTTTTCATGTATATGATATATAATATATATAATGTAGAATTATTCAGTCTTATAAGGGAGGATGAACCTGAAGCAAAGCAAAGTAAAATAAGTCTGACAAAGAAGACAAGTGCAAACCACAACGAGATATCATGGCACTACAGTTAGAATAACCATTATTATATATTTTTTTAAAAACCCTCAGGAAATAGCTTCTTGCAAGTGTGTCACTAAAAGGAAAACCTGAGAAACTCTTGTCTGAAATGCAAATTAGTCTGGTACTATTTGAAACAGTATGAGGGTGAATATCTGGCATAGTGATTAAGACATCTGCTGGGATGCCTTTATCCCATGTTGGGAGTATGTGAGTTTGACACACTCTAATTCCCAATTCCAGCTCCCTGTCACTATGCACTGTTGGAAGCTGCAGGTTATGTTTGAAGCAGTTGAGTCTCTACCAACTAGGAAGGCCCCGATTTAGCTCTAGGCTACTGGCTGAGTCTGGTCCAGCCATGATTGTTACGGGTGTTTGGGGCATGAACTGGTGAAAGAGCTCTCTATCTCCCTACCCTTATTTTTAGACTAAATACGTATTTGAAAAATAAGCTATTAAGTGGCCCAGCTATCCCACTTTTGGTAATGCATCCAGAAGAAATGATGACATCTCATAACAGAATTTATGGAGTCAAACCAGATGCTGATCAGTGGATGAATGGATAAAGAAAATGAAAAAAATACTCAGTTACATATTTTTAGCAATAAAAATAGTAAAACAATACTTTCCAGTAAGTATTTAGAATTGAAGATCATTATGAAAAGCAAAATAACCTATATAAAGGAAAATATGAAATGCTTCCTCTCATATTTGAATTTTGATACACATATAGATTAACAAAACAGAAAAAATACTACATGATCTAACTCATATATAGAATCTTAAAACAGGCAAATACATAGAATAAAATTGGGAGAGGGGAGGAAGAGGGGAAATGTTTCAGGGGATACAAAATAACAGAAATGTAGGATGAGCAAATCCAGAGATCCAATTAATAACACAGAGACTACAAGTAGCAAAATTGTACTGTACTGATTGCTGCTCAGTGATTTTTTTTTACATTTACCACACAAAAAAAGATGAATAAATATGTGATACGTTGAATATGTTAATGTACTTCATCAGTGTAAACATTTCGCCATCAATACGTATCCTGTGACATCATGTTGTGCACGTTAAATTGATCTTTAATATATATAATTAGTTATAAATTATGCATTCCCTAATTGTAAAAGAGTTTATGTCAAGAAACAATGCTTTCTCCCTAGGATTAAATACCTGTACTGTCATGTATTATCAATTTTTCATATCTTTAGATATTAAATAGTTTACATTTTAATTTTATATGATTTGATCTTCTCACTTTAAGGCTGAGCATGCTGTCTTATCTCAATAGTATCTTCGGTATTTAACACTGTGATATGCTTACTGTGCCTTTGTGCAAATTTGTGATAAGTTGTGTGTAATAGACTAAAGCATAATGAAGACTTGTGTTCAAATGATAGTACTATTGCTTCTTAAATGAATGAATAAGATTTTAGGATGTGTAATTAAAAATTGTTAGAGTGTTATGTTCTTATTCATAACAAAGATAATGTCACCATCCCTTTATTAGAAAATAGCCATTCTTAGTAAGGAAATATTAGTGTGGTGACTTTATAAATAATTTATTCTTATAAATGCCATGTTGCTGAGTATTAGTGTGTATTTAAGTTATAAACAAGACAAAAAGCCTTTCTCTTCATGCACCCTGTAGTCTGTAATGGAGGAGGCTGGTTTTGTAGTGCAGCAAGTTAAGCCACAGCCTAGAGTGTCTGCATCCCGAATATACAATGATTCAAGTTATGGCTGATTTGCTTCCAGCCTAGCTCCTGGTTAATATGCCTAGGGATACAGCAGAGTGTAAATCAACTGCTTTTGCTTTTCCCAGTCATGTGTAGCAAGGAGTTCCAGCCTCCTGATTTTCCTTAAAACTCTGTGGTCAACCATTCCCTGTTGGATCTCCCACATGGGATGGAAGAAGCCCAGAACCCTCCTCACAGGGTCTAATGACATCGGAACAACAACCAGGAGCCCTGATCGGTCCTCAGAAACAGAACAGTAAACTTCCTTCAGGACTCAAGGGAGGAGCTTTCTCTGTTCCTTACTTAGTTCCAACTTTGGCTCCCAATTCTCTGTTGCAATGACCATCAGGGTCGCTCTGGACTCCCCAAAATTGGATCAGATAGACAGAGACCAATAAGGAAAGCTTAGAACAGACAAGAAAAATTCAGCTTAGACTCCCATATACCTTTCTAGGTAGAACACAAAGATCATTACTCCTTGCTAAGGTATTGAAGATTTCTCTGCCCACCCCTCCTAAAACCGTTCTGCTCCTCAATTGTTAACATATAGCTTGTTAGAGTTTTAAGTCTGTTTGGATTATCCTAAAATTCACAAAGTTAAGTAAAATCACACTTGAATACTAAACGCTGTTTTTTTCGAATTGACACTAGTGAGCTCATAATAAAAGCCAAGCTTACGTTTGAGAGAAAAGTATTAAATGATCTTGCCTCACATTATTAAAAGCAGACATAAATGCAGTAGCATATTACTCATGTGCCCCTTATTCTTACAGAATCTAGTCATCATAAATGAAGCCAAATCAGTCATGCTGCTACAGAGTACTTTTATGGACTTTATAATATTATCAAATTGGTGATATCACGTTAATCCTCAGAACAATACTATAACACAATTATGAAACAGTAAACTGAGAAGTTACATCATTTGTCTATGAATGTACCTAATAATCAGTACAATTGGGGCTCAAATACAGATAATTTGTTTGGGCAAGTTTCATGCGACATTCTGCCAGTACTAATTTTAAGAGTATTACTCTAAGTGAAGAAATTAAACTCACAAATAAAGTACATGTTGAGAGAATATGTTTTAGCAATGATAATTTAAAACTATTTGATATAAATATAGTTATTGTGAGATAAAGCACTTAAAGATGAATTAGCTATGTACATATTGAAAAACCAATGGTAAAAGAAACATGTATCAGTTGTGTATGTTGATTTTGTTAATGTAGACATTTTGATAAGTTTCTAGATTTAATATAATTTCAAATTTGCAATAAGTCACAAAAATACTGCTATGAATTCCCTTTACTCCTCACTCCGACTTAGCAAACTTTTGTCCAATGCTCTGTCCCTCCTACTTCCCCACTCTCTCTCCTACAGCCATTTGAGGGGAAACACACACATTGTGAATCTTCATATAAATTCCTCAAGATGTAATCCTAAGACAAAAAATACAGTAATCTTGCAACTCAGACAATCAACATCAATATAATACTATTCTCTTGTTTAAGGAATGTGGTCTGTAGCCTTTGGTCAAATATTCATCTGTAGCTTATCGTTGAGCATAATATTTTATTTCAATAGATGTTTTGTTTTCTGAGCTACATAGGAGTTAATAATTATATCAGAGTCTATACAATTCAGAGTTGAAAATATTATTATTTGACCCTTTACAGGAAAAAAGTTTGATAATTTTTCATGTAATTGGAAATACATGTTCAAATTTCATTGTGTGTCCAGGTGAGATGTTGATATTTGTATTTCTTCATTTAGGAAACAATATGGGGTCATTTACTACAGTTTATGTTTCTTCTTTTAAAAAAATAGAATTTATTTAAAAAATAGAATTTATTTAGAAATCACAAAATCACATCTATAGATAGAGTGAGCAGGTAGAGGAAAGGTGGAAGAGAGACGTTTCTACTTTCATCCTGTGTGCACAGGGAGAGACAGGGTGCTCCTCCCCTCCCCATGGCTTCTCCTGAGCCTGGGAAGGAATGATACTTTCCTCTATTCCCAGGTGACAGAAATAAAACCTGGGGAAGCAGCTATTTCATTGACAAGTATCCAAACTGTATTACATAGAGCAGGGGAAGTATGGGTAAGTCCAAACTTGGTATCTGACAGTCCCATTTCATTCCTACCTGATATTTTCAACCCCAGTTCTTAAGGGCTATTGAAGGATGTACTTGCAAATGATCTTAAACTGCACTACCCTGCTCCTTTTTGGACTGACAATGTTTATGGAATATAACAGTTTATCAATTCTCAGAATAAGTTCTGATTAATATTCTTTCAAAAATGTGCAAAGATTAAAATCAGTAAGACTCTTATGAATTCAAAGTATTTCAGCACAAGGGAAGACAACGTGCAGGCACTGGACAAACCACAATATACAGATTTGGATAATTAATTTACAGCAGCTGTGCATGACCAAGTAGACTGCTTGTCACATGAGACTGTAATTGTGCCCACTGAACTGAACAGATGCACACTCCTCACAGTTCTAGTTAGGGACAATAACTTTGCCAGTGTGACTTTACTTTCTGTGGTGGGTATTGTGGTACATTGGGTTAAGCCAATTAGGATGCCTGTATCCCACATTGCTAAGTCACACCTAGGCGTTGTTTCAAGGCTTGACTGCTCTACTTCTCATCAGCTTCCTGCTAATGGATCCTGAGTGGCAGAGGATATTTTCATTGCTGGGCACCTGCCATCTGTGTGGGAGATCTGGATAGGATGGTAAGCTTCTGGTTTGGGCCTTGCACAGAACATACCTGCTATGGGCATTTGGAGAGCAAACCAGAACATGGAAACTCTCCTTTTGCTTCTCCTTCTGTCTGTGACTCTGTTTTTCAATTAAATGAGAAGTAAATATGGAAACATCAAAAATATTCCTTCTTAATGTAGTGGTAGCTGACATATCACATGTAAACAATTTCTGATTTGAATTCAGACAAATTCAAAGTTAAGGTCACATCTTGTTCTTCAAAGTCAGACATTGTTCAGGGAGTAATTAGAAGAAGAATGATTAGACTGGCAGGAAATAATATTGTCTTCCGCATTTATTGATTTAGCATTGATTGATGCTTTAGTTCTATCCACTTTCTGATATTAAAAAGAAAAGAGGCAGGGATCAGCTAGAGAACTAATTCTGAGTATACTCATTTTCAATTTCATCTCAATAGTGGATGGGGATACAGCAAAGAGTGAAATGATAATAGCAAAGGCAAGAAGGGCAGCAGATGTATATTTCTAGATGCTATCAAAGGAGATTTTTGAAGAATTACTAAAGAAATGGCAATAAAAATTTCAGAACATATTTTATGTAGCATCAATTTCAATATCAACTCCTCCCTTAAATGCATAGTTTAAATATTAAAAATTATCTTATAAATACTTATTTTGAGGGAAAGATTGTGCATAAATCTAAGACCAAAATTTTTACCTAAGTTTTAATGACATAATAATTTATATAATTTAAAATAACATTTAGGGCCCGGCGCAATAGCGTAATGGTTAAAGTCCTAGCCTTGCACGTGCTGGGATCCCATATGGGCACTGGTTCTAATCCCGGCGGCCCTGCTTCCTATCCAGTTCCCTGGCAGGTGCAAGGAGAGGACTTTTGCTGCTAGGCTTTTGCACTGAGCCGTATGTCTATTTTTAAAGAATTACAGAAAGGGATAGATAGAGATCGTCCATCTGCTCCAGATGATTATAATTGCTGGCCAAGAGAGTCATAGTAGTTTCACAGTTGCGCGGTAGAAGTTCAAACACTTAAACATCTAGCATTGTTTGTTCTAAGCTATTAGCAGGAATCTTGGTCAGAGGCGGAGCAGCAGGGATAGTAACTGGATCTCATATAGAATACTACGCCAATGAGGATGTTGCAAGCAGCAGCTCTACTGTTACACCGCAGTGTAGCCCTCCTTTTCATTTTTTGTTTTTTGAGATAGCATATTTTGAATTTACATCACATTCAGTGGCTTAATACATGTCCAAATACAATGTATAGCAAGTAAAAAGCAGAAATACTGAAAAAAGAAAGGAAAAATGGGAAGGAAGGAGGGAGGGAGGAAGGAAATGAAGAAAGTAAGAGAATATCTTCATATTGTTGGAATTGTATCCATAAATGATATCAAATCTGTGAAAACCTAACTAAAAATTTGTAAAAATTAAAAATGCTGAATTTTCCAAACTAAGCACATAATGAATAAGAATGTATAAGCCACAATAAGAAAACTAGCATGGGTGGCTAGTTGTAAGTTTAGTTACTTCCTATGTCCTGACATATTTTTATATACTTTTTCTGTGTCCTGGCCTAATTTTGAATAAATATGACTTTTGAAAATGCCAGCCTCGTTCAGCTGGAAGAAACAAAAGAATATATTTGGACTGAGAGATTTACAGGGGAAGTTTTGCATTTTGGGGAGCTGGATATAATGATCACGATATAAAACACTCGAAGCAGCTAGATAAAATTCATAGTGTTGCTAAGCAATGTCCCCAAACTAGTTGGAGGCCTTATTATAGATCCCCAAAACTGGATCCAATTCCCCAATGTGCAGAAAGCCAATCAATGACACTAGGTAAGTGGAAGAGAGTAATTGTTTATTTCAAAGGGCAACACAAAAAGCTGGGCAACTCCTATATGTTGGAATTGGACTTGAAAGATAGCTGATCAGCTTATGTCCAGGTTCCTGGTTGGGCACGGTATCTGGTGGCCTTTCTGTGATTGGTCAGTGATTCCTCCTCTTTAGAGAATTTATGATGGCCAAGTGGGCTCTAGTTGGTCTGGGTGTATGTGATTATAAGGAGATAAATCCTGCCTGAACCTGAAATTCCCCTACTCAAATCACTTCAGAACAATACTGGCCATAGGGATTCTTATCTATTGGAGAAGCAAATGACAACTGGAGTTCAGTGACTAGCACCTTATAAAGCCAGCTGGATCAGTTCCTTATGTCAATGAATTCCTTTTGATGGAGGATGTGTAAGGGTACCTTGGGCTTAGCAAGACATACTAGCGTCAGGGCCCTGCTTTCAAATGTTCAGTAACCCCTATCTGTTGTTACTCCTCAATCCTGAGGGAATGGGGATGATGACCATTCTGACTGCTTCATGCTATTTGTGGGGCAGTGTCGGGGTGTTTGTAGAAACAGGGGAGAGCAAGTTATCAACAAACTTCCTAGTCCAAGCTTAGCTGTGGAGATTCTCTGTGTCATAATAGCATTTGGCCTAGGCAGTTTCTATGCAGCTTAATCTTTTGGATTATTGCCACTCTATAGCAGCAATAAAGGCAATGATAAACTTGCATTCCTACACATACAATGAAAGGGAAAGAAATTAATAATTTCTCCCATTGGAAACCCTCATTCCTGAGCCTGGATTAGAGTGATTGAATAGTGATAGCACTGTCCTTTTAGGACCAGTTGAATATCATTTCTGAGTGTGTTAAAGAACAAAATCACACTCCCTAGTCCTAGCTGTAGAACAAAA